ATAATTTGATATTTCTTTTTACCAACCAACATTTGAAATTCCTCTTTTACATTCCGATAATTCTTGAGATGGTAATATGATGACTAATTATGATTAAAGTCAAGTTCTAGTTATTATTTTTAAAGTTACTTGTAATTTAATCTTCTACAACAGGAAAAAAATTCTGGAATAAGAAAGAATGTTAATATATATCGTTTTGCAATGCCAATTCAAACAAAATTCCATTCCTTATCAATTATCTAGATATTATCATATATATAGCTAGATATTATGTCCGTTTCACATATTTACAATTCCAGAAGTGAGTATCTAGGAATCACGTGTTTTGCATCATGCAATATGTGACATTATAAATGCGTGAATTACATATCATTATCCGATATTGGATATGTCCTACTATACGACGTCGAAGAAGTATGAACATTTGCACAAGGATAGATATATCATGTGAAGAGAAATCTTTCATACATTATGCAATATACAATCAATGTAATGAAACCTAATAGTCCAATTAAATGGTAAAAATAAAAATACATAAGAATGTGCATATAAGGATGTGCAACATCGTCTTTTGAAACTTTACTTATTTTTCTTGTTAATAATTTTATGATATTTCATATAATTGTAATTATTTTTCAATGCAGAAATTTTGTTATTCCTTTTCTTTAATTTTTAAGTTTGATGTTCAATTTAAAAATTTGAAATATAATAAAATATAATGAAATATAAAATGCTAAGTACTGTAATATAAATAAAGATACTAAATAAAGATACTGTTAAAGATTCAAGGTAAGCAACGTTTAAGTTTTTATACCGTTTCTTTTAAATGAGTGGTCGACTTGACATGAACGCTTGATGATCTATATCAACGTTGAAGAATCATATTGAAAACTTGAGATCTTATGAAATTGACATCCTCATTAGCATATCTTTGTTTCAGAAGAATCTACCCATCATCTGCTCATATACGAAATAAAGATTGTGCATCCACAATTTTTCATGTTCCATTTATCCATTCCATTCATATTTGTCTTGACTACAGGATAATAATATTTAGACACTTAAATAATGTCTATGATTACTTTTCCTGCAAATATAAATATAATACGATTTAAAACATAAAAGAATGTAAAATAAACATTTTCACTTTTCATTTGTGATATTCTCCCGCGTACATTTCGTATTGTGAGCATGCGCATTGGGAAAGTTGAGCAGACACGCATAGCTGGCATGATAATAGTCCAGATTATTTCAGAGAAATAATCAATGAAATAATTATGCTTTTCGTACAGAATTCCCTAGCAATGTTATTTTCTAGTACAGGGAATGTATCAATATAGTAGATCCCATGTAATTGCGAAAACGATCGTTCGATGGGTATTTTTATTGGTCGAGCCGGCAGTGACTATTTGCCGGCCGGTCAAGCATGTACTTGCAGTTAATCGATAAAACCTAAAGAACGTAAAAGCGATTCCACGACACGTGAAGTAATTTATGGTTTCTATTACGCATGAAACACGTCGACCTTTTGTATCTACTTGCCTCTGTCATGAAATCGTAGATTTCCTAACGAGTTGCAGTCAGTTTGTGGTACAATCACATCACACAGTAAAAACGTCAAAAGCACACACGACGAAGGAAAGGATAGGTCGAAGACCCTATAATTGAGTGTTTTCCACAGCCGTCAAAAGATGGCGGTTCGTACGATTTACGAGTTATTGAATATATGCGTTCAATTTATAGTAACATCGTATATAATTAAAATGCTCTTTAAACTTTGCGTTCTGTCACTTTACATTTTGCACTTTGCTCGTATGAAAGAAAAAAATATTTATGAAGATATAATTCATAGTCCTAATGCTTCATCACCTTGAAAATATTTGTAATTATTTGTAATACAAATCTGTAAAATTTGTAAAGATATTAGATCGTTTGTAAATATATTGTCTACTTTATTCAGTGTAAGTTACTCAATACGAACGAATCATGCATTTAATCTATTGTACTTTGATATTGTGCATTACACTTGCACTTGACCTCTTGCCGAGTTTCATGCTCATGGAGAGTTGAATATTCATATGGGCGATATCGTTTGATAGTATTAAAAGAAATGCATAATTGCATGTGGCCTGCAATGTCATTATAAAGGACAAAAAATATTTGTTAACTTTAGTAATTTGTCATTATACACACATATATTGTGTATAATACTAATAAAAATTAAATTTTAGATGCTACTCTTTCAATTACATTTCTGCACAGTCTGCATTGCATTCACTGTGCAATTCTAATGCTTATACAATTCCATTTGATAATAATAATAATCTTTGCAATAATGTGTTTTCCTTGTTGCAACGTCTATCATAACTAGCAAAATTAAAATTACCTAAAAAATTTACTTCTTATTAATTAATATAGTTAATTATATATTTATTATTTATTAATAATAATTATTAATTGATATAGTTAAATATTATATATTTATTATTTATTAATGATAATTATTAATTAATAGCAAAATTAAAATTACCTAAAGTATTTACTTCTTATTAATTAATATTGTACAATTGTCTGATGATTCTTTGAAATACTATTTTATTGGATAAGAAAATAAATAACAGCATCGAGAAAGTAATCGATTCAAGACATCATTGTCGTCAAAAGTAAAGTGGTTTGATACTAATAAAGTACGATCAATACAAATAGAGACTTCATAAAATATTATTAAGTACTTCGAATAGTATCTATTTGGAATCAGTGGAACGTGCGCTTTTTCTTTGTTTCGTATAGGTTAGCGCACTTGACTATCCTCATGTCAATTCATAGATATAATTCATGCTGTAATGCCTTAACGTAGAATTCTACCGGCTCTACTCGAAACGATTGGCATTGACTGGTGACAAACGCGTAATCGCTTCGTATTAACAGTGCACATTCTGAATGGGACCACAGTCCGGTTGGGCGAGAATCGTAACAAGTGCTATAAAAAAAGACCATCTTATGCTCTCTTTTATAAATTTATATATACTACAAATAAATATATAATCTATATTTATTACGTACATATGTGTATATATATGCATGTAAATTCGATAAAATGTTTAAAACTTAACAATTATTAGTTTACTTTTTACTAGCTAATAGCTAGTAAAGCGGAATACCGGCAGACATATGATTATGATAATTTATACAAAGTTTAATTACCTCACAGATTTATGTTAATAGCGTAAAATTTTTTAAAAACGAACCAACGAAAGATGTTTAATCTTTTATTCTAGAAATTATTTATCTTTTATTGAAATCAAACCAGATATTTAAAGACGATTAATTGAATACCTTTTGCTATTTGATTATTAATTTTATTTTTAAATATTTTTATTTTTAATCTTCATCATTGTAACAATATAAGCAGACATCTTATAGAGATTGTATTCAAATATCGGACGAGAATAGCAATGAGTTATATTAATTACATTCGATCATTGCGACGCGACTCATAGTTTAAGAATTTATTTGAGAATTGTATAATATATAATGTATATACATATAAATAGAAAAGTGAAAAATGAAAAGTGAACTTACTGAAATTTTGGATCCAATGAAACTTCAATTGTCGATCCCACGATCATTAATTATACACGGTATAACGATTAATTATGTCGGACGTATTATTTCGATTAGTACAAACATAAGATTTCACAGATATGATTACTGTATCAATCGCATCGCTTAAAATAATGATATTTAGTTAGAAACACATTTAATTAAATTTTCTGACTAACGATATCTACATCAACACATTACATCGATCGAGAATACTCGCGTGCGTGATTATTGCTATGGTCGAACTTACGATCGATTACTTTCAAACTATAAACGTTCGATTTTCCGTAGAGGTTCGAAAGGCATCGAGGGTAGAAAACCTCGTTTATTCCACGGGACAGTGTTCTCCATGTCAAAAGAGAGTTTCATCTGTTGAAACCGATTTACTGCGTACCCGTTTCAACGTTCACACGAGCTTAACTGACAATGAAATGAAGCTTTGTAATTTTCAGGTCGTGTGCACCTACCTATAGTGAGCATAATACAGATACCATCAAGGACGTGTTAAGCATAGGCTACTTGTATCTTCATGTAATACACACCTCAGTAAATGAAAGTAGTACATTTCGAATATGTAAAGAAGAAGATGGTAATACGAAGCCACATGAATATTTTAAGTCATATATATTCGATAACGGGCTAACACTAAAAATAACATAAAAGTAAAAATGATAAAATTTCTAATCTAATCTACTTACTTTGTCACAATTTTGAGTACTCAGATGTTTTCATATAATTATTTTTTCGTATTGATTATTTTTAGTCGTTCAAAAGAACAATGAAATAAGATTTCTATGTTATCATCCTTTTATTCTGTATTTTTCCTCTTGTGGATATCAATTGATTCATTGATTCTGCCTGTTTAGGAAACATAGTTCATAGCAATTTAATAGGTTATTCGCACTTCCGGTCTCAACTGTAACGATGTAAGATTATATTTTTAAACGAGTAAACAACATATTGATCGTCTGACGCGGTGTAATAAGATTTAAACCATCGTGTAGAATTTTCTACTCGATCATTTTTGACCCAAACTAATATTAGATACCACCTTATTATTCTATTATTCCGAATTTATTCTTTAATTTCAATTGCGACTTATTTCTAGCATAAGTGACCAACGAGGTCAATCGAATTAACAGAGTAAATTTCAAAGAAATGCCTTTTATTATTCCAATATTAATATTTATATCTTACCTTGGAATGAATCGAAATTTTTATCATGAATGAGAATATAAGACATAAATGAAGAATATGTTGTATTATTGGAAGAAATGGGAAATTTGAAATAAGGGTTGCGGAAATAGCGATTTCTGCCGAAGATTAACGAGGTGATTTCGGGCTAGCTATCGATTCCTCCCGAAGATTTCCGGAAATAACCGAGGTCGTGAAAGTGACGTATGTACGTCAGTAGTGTGGGCCGACCCGCGTATCGTCGGTACAGTTGAGAAATTTTATTTGATTCTGTTTTTCCGCGAAAGGATCACTAACATCATGATATGCGATCATGAATTTCTTTCAGTAATATTGTAAAAGGGGTCTCACAATCGAAGGAAGTGGCTCACCATCATATGTTTGTAAAATTGGCGTGAGAAAAAATCTTGCTCTTATACGAGTGCGTTAGGGCCCCGATCAATCTTCAAGTTCATGAACTCGCACTTATTTGGTTAATTGGGTTTGTTCGTGATTGAATTTACGCTAAATTAGTAGCGTTTCGACAATTCTTCTTTCGTGAGGTACATATCGAGTTATTTTCACTAAGTTCGATCACTGTAACCTAACCTTGAAATCACACATTTCCTTCACTGATTTCTCCGACTAATTTCTCCGAGAAGTTACATCCGTTTTTGATTACAGATTTGGTTCGGTGGTCACCTACGGGTGAACAGAGATGGCCACCCCCCAAACACCGGGTAAGTCAATTTTTTCTTTGTTTGCAAGTGTAGTGACAGACATGCTTTAATTTAGTTGTCATGTTGACAGTAGTTGACATAAGAAAAAAACAGAAATTGTTCTTAATTTCTGATTTGATAAATTTTATTAACTGATCAATAGGGTCGTTGGTAAATATACTTTCATTCAATCTTTGAACATTATAAAATAAAAATAGAGATGGTAATTCTTTTAGGTATGGACCCTTGGGTAATTCAACCCAGAGAACGTGCAAGATATAGAGAACAGTTTGATTCTCTGAAACCAATCAATGGAGTTGTCACTGGAGAGCAAGCAAAAGAATTTTTGCTTAAGTCTCAGCTTCCACCTGTTATCCTTGGGCAAATTTGGTATTAACATTATATTATTATATCACTTTAGTATTTAATGTCTTCAAAAATTATCATATATATATGACATAAAAATGTGATGATACAGGGCTTTATCAGATACAGATGCAGATGGAAAAATGGACATAAATGAATTCAGTATTGCATGTAAATTAATCAATTTAAAGTTACGTGGTTTTGAAATTCCTAAAACCTTACCTTCAACTTTAGTGCAAAGTTTGAAATCACTTTCTGCCAGTAAGTATGATGAAAGTAGTAAATGATCAAGATTATTTTAATTGAAGATCATGACTATTAATATTTCATAACATTTAGGTGATGCTAATGTTACAAACTTAACAAATGGAGCTGCTAATATCCCATCACAGAATAATGTTGCTTCACTAGTTAATTTATCTGGTCCACCACAAGTTCCAGTGCAGCCCTTAATTAGTGGAATGCCTATGGCTGGATCTGTTCCACGTCCTCTTATAGGACCTCCACCTGCAAATGGACCATTACCAGGACATGCTATTAGACCTGTTTCACCAATGACTTTACCAGGTAATTATATTAAGAATTTTATATCCAGATATGTGAAGCATATATAAATGAGTGCATATGATGAAAAAAATGTAAATTTTCATAGGATTTATCAAAAAAACTCTTACACTATTGTTAAGAATTCTATTTCACAACAATCATTTTTCAGTTGAATTTATATCAGTTAATATATATCATGACAACAAATATTTCGTCGCTAAAAATAAAAATCTACTACACTTATTGTCATTACTTACATTATTATAGCTCTGAAAAATAAGAAAAAAAAATATGTAACTAACAAACAGCATTACTTAGCATTATTTTACTTATGCATCATACTACACAGCATCACGACAAAGTAGACAGAATGTGGCTGCCACTATACATGCCACAACTCACACAGCGTCAAAGCCACCTGCTCGACCTGCACCACCCTCTGTGGGTATGTTATAAGAAGTGGATGTTTATCTATGAATGATTAAGTACTGAATTTTCTTTTGTTTCATATTTTTCTTTCAAATTTATAAAAATATTATGATTCTACTTCAAAGCATTTTTTTCTTTTATTGGATGATATGATCAGCAGTATAACATTATGTGCTATGGTATATGCATTGATATTTCGAATGCAAATACTCATTTTTGCATGAAAGATATATTGCTATATTTTAAATAACTGTTTATATTTTATTATATTTAACTTGCAATTATATTATAAGTCTGTGATATCTTACAAGATATTCTATGAAAATGAAACATAATGAAATCTGCAATATGAATTGATATTGTAAGTTATTATGCACAATATTATCAAAACGGTATTACATTGTATTATAAACAATCACATGTTATTAAAAAAACAACATAAACACATATCATTAAAAGATATACTTTTATGCTTTTTATCTCTGTCTGTGTCATCTCATTATAAAAACATACATGTTTTATGTAATATTATATGTGTAATCAATGTTGCAATAGTTCTATTTACTGACTACATATATATATATATATAATTTATGTATATATAAATATATATATATAATTCTGCTATTTTTTCTTCTATATTGCACACTTATACAACATTGTATACAATAATATAATATTTGTGCTGCAAAAAAAAAAAAGGAATCGTGCCTTCTACAAGTACTACCACTACCACTACCACTACCACTACCACTACTCCTAGTGGTGGTCCTCCTCAAAGACCTGCACCACCCACAAGTATTGGTATGTTTCAAAATGTAAAGAAAATTTGGGAAATAGAATCCATTTCTTTAAAAATATGATAGATGAAATTGCATGTAAACTTAGATAGTTCCCCATATTTTTAGAATATTAATGTAAAGAAATATTAAAATATTAATATAAAGAAATGATTCCTTTTTGTATCATACATTATTGTAACAAACCATACTTTAATAAAAAAAATCATCCAACAGTATTATTACATACAATTTTAGTATGAAATGCATATAATTATAAATTAATTTTGTCGCTGTTGCTAAGCTTTCCAGTCGTTGCAACTGTAATATTATTTCATATTTTAAATATTTTGATTTTGCTGTTGTATTACACTTTTTTTTAATAATACATTTTATTTAAATTAATATTTTGTAAATGAAATTTTGTAAATATAATTATATATTTTTAGGAGCAAATTTTTCACCTGCGACTAGTGGTCCACCTCCAAAACCAGCACCACCTTCATTTCCTAATAGTCCTGTTACTGCTGGGATTTCACCAGTCAAAGTTGCATCTGTTTCTGCTACTGCTGTTCCTCCCAGTCAACCTATGCAATCAATGACTACATCTGCCATGGGTAAAATAAGATGTTTTTTTTTCACATTCTATTTCTTTAAATGTTTATTTAAATTTTTAATTTTCAGTATAGATACATTTAAATCAGAAATTCTGTTGATTTATCAATGATGTTTTACTCTTTTTTTTTACAGATTTACTTGATCTTGAGTTTTCAGGTACACTTTATCAAATGGATTTTGTAGAAAACATAGTTGTTATTTTTGCTTAATTTAACTAATAAATAATGTAACTTAAATATTTTTTTATGGTATTTTTAAATTTTGATTTTCCTACACCTTAAATTAAGATTCTAATGTGAGAAATATTGTTATTTTAAATAGTAAATTATGGTAATTAATAATTTAATATTATTAATTAAATCATTTATTGAAGCAGTAACATTGAATCATAACAGAATTTTAACATTACTTATAAGCAGATAATATATAAAAAGAATTATACTTTAATAAGTATTTTTTCTTTAAACAGGAATGCCTGCAATAGCACCAATTGCACCCTTAAATACAACTCCAGCCCCAATAGCTGCTTTTGGTATGGCACAAACAATGCCTATGCAACCGTTATCTTGTACTAGCATGGTTGCTCCAATTACGGGTTCTACCATAGTACCCTCAATTGCACCAATATCTACTGGTATATATAATTTAAATTTTGTAATCACATGTATATCGTTTTATTATTACATGATATAATTCATTATTTGTTACATTGTCTTTCAGGGACCGGTGTAGTATCAACTCCTCCAGTTGTAGGTTTACCGCTAGTGTCAGCAACCACAGCAAGTGGCACATTAGTAAACGGTGTAATTGCTCAAACACCAGTATCCACAAGTACACCATTAAGTACAACTGCACGTCTACCAAGTATAGATAGAGTGGGCTCGGTTGATTCACAACATAGTCAACATAGTCAACATTCAATAGGTTCCCCACAATCTGTGGAATGGGCTGTACCTCATCAAACAAAATTAAAGTATACTCAATTGTTCAATACTTGGGACAGAACGCGATCTGGATTTTTGTCTGGTCCTCAAGCTAGGAATATTATGGTGCAGTCACAGTTACCTCAACAAGTATTGGCACAGATATGGTATAATGATATAACGGCAAATATCAAAGAATAACAATCGAAAAGATTCAAAATATTTCAAAACATAAATGTTTTATTAGGGCATTAGCGGACATGGATTCTGATGGTCGTTTAAGTTGCGACGAATTTGTATTAGCAATGCATTTATGTGATATAGCTAAGCTTGGTGAAAAGATACCTACCACGTTACCAATTGAACTTATTCCACCTGCATTCAGGCGTCAACGACAAAGTAGTTTAACGCTTTCACAAATTGGAACGGAAAATATAGATCCATCAGCTGGTATGCCGCAAGTAAGTTCATTCTTAATTAAAATACTTGTGATTAAATAATCTCATAATTATAACAAAGTGTGTTATACAATCTCTTTTACAGACCTCTTTTGAAGACAAACGTAAAGAAAACTTTGAGAAAGGACAAGCGGAGCTAGAGCGTAGGCGCAAGGCTTTATTAGAAATTCAACGTAAAGAACAGGAAGAACGTGAACGAAAAGAAAGAGAAGAAGCTGAGAAACAAGAGAAAATTAGGTGAATAAATGTTTTCCAAAGATTACATAAATAAACATTTGAATTGAGGCATTTCATATTAATTGAAGACAAATACCATATAGATTAGAACAAGAAAGACGAAGACAAGCAGAAATTGAGAAACAAATGCAAAGGCAAAAAGAGATTGAACAGGAAAAGGAAGAACAACGAAAACGAGCTCAAGAGCAAAGAGAAGCGGCACGAAAGTGAGTAAAATTTTAAATAATTTGTATGTGTAAAAATCTTAAATTTATTTATTTAATAGAGAGATGGAAAGACAACGACAATTAGAATGGGAAAAACAGAAATCACAAGAACTTCAAGCTCAAAGGCAAAAAGAACAAGATGTATTACTGAAATTAAAAGCAAAAAATCAGACATTAACTATCGAATTAGGAACACTTGTAAGTATTAAAAAAATTATTAATAAGATAATTGACATTTATATAATATTTTGATTACGACATAGAATGATAAAGTGAAAGAACTGTCTCAAAAAATCTGTGACACTCGAGTTGGTGTATCTGGAGTTAAAACGACAATTGATGGAATGCGATCGACACGTGATGCACAGTTACAAGAGATGGCTGCTTTAAAAAATAAACTTCGAGAACAAAACCAAAGATTATTAGCTTTGAGTCAAGAAAAAGCTCGAATTGAAGCAAAGAATAAGCTAAATACAGCTATGGAGTCGGCGGGTCAAGAAGCTATTAAAATGGCATTCGATAATAAGCAAATTACTTTGAAACAAATGAAGGATAAAATTGCTGATTTACAACAGCAGGTATTTAAGTATATCAAGTATGTATAATATATTAAATGTGCTGTAATGTTATAATATGAAATTAATATTAATAGATTGATGCTAAAATGGCTGACATAGAAAATAATAATGGCCAGCTTCAAGATATTAAAACGCAAATGGAAACTTTAGTGGCTGATTGTAAGAATCTTTATGTAACTTTCGAAGATAAAAAATTAAAAGTTTTAGAACTCAGAGCAAGTGGTGGTACCGGAGCTGGTACTGATTATACAACTTCTGCGTGGAGTGATAGCGCTTGGAATGATACTTCAACAGCAGTTAACGATTCTGCATGGCCTATCAATGATATCACCACAACTGAGACAGTGGAAGAAACTACTCCAGGAGTTATGAAATATAGAGCTTTATACGAATTTGTGGCTAGAAATCAAGATGAAATATCGTTTCAACCTGGCGACATTATCTTGGTATTATTATAAAAATATTTTCGGATATTAAAAAATATAGAATAAAAATTAAATTATTTCTCTAATAGGTACCGCCTGTTCAAAATGCAGAACCAGGATGGATGGCTGGCGAAATTCGTGGTCATACTGGATGGTTCCCTGAATCCTACGTGGAACCAGTAGATGCTGGTAGCGCAAATGATAATGCTTTCATACAACAACAAGACAGTGTGGAGAAGAGAACGTTAGAGTTAGTCAATTAAACTAAAATTATATTTAACTGCTAAGATTATTTGTAATTTACTCTTATATTTTTTTAATATAGGGGGATTGCTGAAGTTCCTGAAAATGTATCTGATGCTGGATCACTTGGCGACGAGCCTCCTTCTGTTGAACCCATTATACCTACTCTTGGATTAGGTGTAGCTTGCGATATACAAGTAACCACTTTGTATCATTATCGTCCTACGATAGAACAACATCTTCCGTTTGAGAAAGGAGATATTATTAAAGTAGATGAACAACAGGTTAGTGTAAAAATATATTTACACTACATATTAATATATAGATTTATATTAATACATTTTTTATCTCTTTAGGGTGATTGGTGGTACGGTACATCTAATAAAGAAGCCAAGGGTTGGTTTCCTAAATCATATGTCAAAGAAATTACTGCTAATCAAACAGCAGTGGTTGAAGGTCTTAATGAATACTATGTAGCCTTATATCCATATGATTCTGCCGAAGCTGGAGACTTAACTTTCAACCAAGGAGAAGTTATATTAGTCGTTAAAAAGGAAGGCGATTGGTGGACGGGTAATATAGGAGATAGGAGCGGAATTTTCCCTGCTAATTATGTAGAAAAATGTGATGCTTCAGATCAGGTAAAATAACGAATCTTTTATTTTATCGAGTGAAGTTTGAATGACTAATTTCAGTTTTTATTGCACAAAGCGATAAGACGCTTTAAAATTTTAACATATATAATATTAATCAGGGTGCCTCTGTAACTACTAACGTATCTGAAACGATTACTGCAACGACTGAAGACACAACAACAAATGATCAAGAAACAGTTGCGTCAGTAATTGCCCAAGCAGTATTGGTTCGTAATATTTTAATTCTAATACCTTTATTTTATATATTTTGAAAATATATTTTTTTTGTATTATCAAAAAATTATAGTGTATTTCAAAAAGCTTTGTAGATTTAACTTTGTGCGTATAATATTATTAATAATTGGCATGTAAAGTATGAAGCTAGATGCATATATCCCATGTTTAGCAAGCAGAGAAAATTGCTGAGCAGCTCGAAGATGAAAGACAAGCCGCAGAAGATAGAGCAGAGTTGCCAGATTTTACCGCAATGGCTGCACAGCAGGTAATTAATATTTGCTTACGATATATCTGTAATCTAGGAATATATAACATTGATTACTTAATAAAATTTAATTGTTTTTTTTTTATTGCTGGTGTCCCCTTATTACAGTATCATAAGGTATTTTATTTGTTACAAAATGTATTTGCTAAGCACTATGTTTTATACATTTTGCTTAATACTCATATGTTACAGCTTCGTAAATAACATCAAATTTGAAATATATTGTAATATATATTGTACATAAGTAAAATGATAAAAACATAATAGATTTTGGTAATATGTGCCTTTTTTTTTTAACAGAAAGGAAGAAAACCTGAAATTGTACAAGTTATTGCACCTTATCAAGCCACTAGTTCTGAACAGTTAGATTTACAAAAAGGACAATTAATAATGATTCGTAAAAAGACAGACAGTGGTTGGTGGGAAGGAGAATTACAGGTATAATAATTTATTAATTTTTTCAAATTTATTATAGTAAAATAATTTTTCGGCAATTATATTTCTATTTCATTATTTTTATTCCATTTAGGCACGTGGTAAAAAAAGACAAATTGGATGGTTCCCAGCTTCTTATGTTAAACCTTTAACCAGTAGTAGTAATCGAAGCACACCTGTTTCTCATGGATATCAAGACTCTCCTACAGATCCAAATGTTGGCAAGTAGTTTTTAAGTGTGGTTTTATATATACTAAATATTAAGAACATACTAATAACGTGCTTTATTAATTTAGAACGCGTTATGGCCTTATATCCATATCAAGCACAAAATGAGGATGAGTTAAGTTTTGAGAAAGGTGACGTTATAACTGTACTTGCAAAAGATGAAGCAGCATGGTGGAAAGGCGAATTAAACGGAGTGTCTGGTGTTTTCCCTAGTAATTATGTATCTCCTATGTGTAAGTATTTTTTATTTCAAAGTTTTACATTTCATTTACAAAATTTGAAACATAATTTGCATCATAAGTGTTTAATAAAGAGCAATTTTGAAACAATTTTATAACTAGCATACTTTAATAAAATTTAAGATAATATAAAACAGATATAATTATACAGTTATAGCATACTTTCAATTTGTAATACACGGATAGACGGACGACCGTCAGGTTTCAATTTTATGAGATATAAATCGATATCGTGACAATATCGATCTTCAAAATTTTGACAACACAATTTATAATTTAATGCGACGGTCGTTTAGTAGGACCACATGAAATTTTAATTTCCTGAATTATTTTCAACCAAATGTACTTATTTTCATATTGTATAATTTTATGTTTATAGAAGGCAATAAGAACATAAAAACTTTTTTGGATACATTGTACATATTAGTAATATACTACATTTACTTCATAATGTCATACGTTTACTTACAGAATTAATTTGAAATTAGCTATAGGTTACAGGCATAAATAGGGTGGTTATTAAATATCTTGACAATTCCGTAAGCTAGATATGTAAATATTATTAATTTTTTTATTGGTAATGATTTTTAAGAACTACATTCCAATTTGCGATAATAAATTATGTGAAAACGGTATTTCTTTCATTATTATTATACGGGTGTTATGTGTGCTTTCTGCTCTGACATGGCTGCATTCAAATTCAGCACTTTGGCTTGGAAAGCGGTACATCTGTACTTTACAGTAATCGTTATTTCATTTCTGGTCTATTTATAACGGGTAGTTTTTTGCGGAATCAGTTAACAGAAAAGTATACTCTCTCTATCATACAGCCTGCCTGTCTGCCTGCATGCCTGCCTGTCCGTCCGTCCGTCTGTCCGTTTGAGGTAGCTGTTTCGTTTCAGTAAAATATTTGTAAGATATATAATATTATATATATTATTATATAATATATGAAAGTTATATAATATTATTTAATGTTTAATTCAAAATATTGAATAAATCTGTATTTTAAAAATTTCATATCATTAACTATAATCAAAAACTTAAATACATTTTTAAAATAATTTGTTTAGCATATTATATATTGCATATAATCATTGTAACACAACTAATTATTATAAATCATTATTGCCTTCATTTAATTATATTTATTCTATTTTTTAATTATTATTTTATATAATCATTTATATAATCTTTATTAACTTACTTTACTTTGAACTATGGTTCCATAAAGTGTTTGAATGGAGTTATAATATCAAGAAATAGTATCTTAAAGCGAAATAGCTACTTCAAAGAATTTGAACATCTGTCATTTGCTTACAATACTTGAAATTCTTTTTACTAATTGTTATCTTTCGCCTCTGCTTAACATGCAGCATAAAGGATAGCAGAGCAGCACCGCAGCATTGCAGGCTAAAATAAAAGCGTCTCAAGTGCAATAAGAATGATAGCAGTCTCAACACTGAACGCGCCGTGTTACAACCAACAAGTCTCATCGGTGGAGACAGTGAGCATAAAAATGAAAACAAAAAAATAAAAAGGGGGAAAGAAAGACTCAGGGCTGGCTCATTTTTGTATTACTCTGAATTATTGTGAATCTTTTTCTTCTGATTCAGGGTCGTATTCAGTCTTTTATTTTCATTGTCGTTCAAATTGTTACCATATATCTTAATGACCATTATTCTTTAAACTATTGAATCTTTATGTATGGTTTACAAACGCAATATTTATATATATATATACTCATAAAGGAGAGCGCTAAATATTGAATAACTAGATAATATCGTGTTATTACAACCACCTGACATGTACACCAAATTCTACCTCAATCCTCTATTTTAATTTAGACAGAGCTTGAAAATCGAATATGATTCCTTTAACACTTTAACCATTTGGAATAAAATTCATTAGTAACTAATATTTCGAATAAAAATTGAAAGCAACATATATTTATTTAAGAAGTTTAATCTTTAGAAGATATTAGACGTACTTTCTGTTTATACTAGCACTTTTAGCCCCCCCAAAAAAAATTACAAAAAAGATCTACAAAAATGCAATTATACTGAAAAATATAGCTATAGTAGAACAGAAGCACTTTCTGCTAGGAGCAAAGACAATAAACATCGAAATATTTATCTGTAAAACATTCATACTACTTTATGTATTTAACAACATTTAAACAGCTTTATGTGTAAATAAAAATATAAAAACATTATTAAATAATCAAAGGGCTTAAAGTGTTAGGTCGATAAAAATTACGTGTATTAGTAGTATTAAAATTTTATAATTAGTTCCTCTGAGAGAAAAGTTTTTTAAAATGTTTAAATACTGCCTGTCATTGTTCCTTTTTCTTCTGTTAGCATTAGTACGTTATTTGGTGTGCAATACAGATGGTTTGTACAGTTATATTGCGCCAAGGCCTAGAGCAAAGATATGGGCAACTGAATATTATTTTTCTGCTTGCCTTCAATGTAAAGGGAGAAGGAGTTGTTAAATCATAATGTTGAATGTTTCGTTTAACTTTTTCTTTGCCACTCGTATAGGTGAAGAGTTTGTTACAATATATAGAAGATATATGTGTATTCTTAAAATTTTTAAACAAGTACACAGTCTATAACTTCTGTTTAAATTCAAAATTCTATATATAAGTATAGAAATCAAAAAGAGATATAATACTATTACACATAATATTTACAAAGAGAATGAAAATATGCTCTCTTTTGAATTTAATAAGTTTTACCAGATTTGTTGTTCCTATTTATTTATTTTATATATATATATAGCTTTTATTTTCTCTGATTTATCTGATAAAATAATGGAAGATGATGTGCTCCTTCTTCGCAGCCTTTTATTATAGAGCCTAAATCATCATTAAAATATCACTAATAACAATCATAAAGTTAGGTAGATATTGCCACTGGTGGGAATGATTTATTACGTAATGTTATATTATCGCAAACCAGTTTTTCCATCAATTTATCTCTGAGGATAATAGTTTATATGACTTAAGAATAGGATATCTAAATGTTATTATACAAATATATTGTATTTAAAACTGCTGATTTATTCTTTATTTATATTTATTGCTTTTAAGCTTATGAATCTCGGTGTTGAGATACTTAAATATCTTATTATTAAAATTTATTTGAAATAATTTACTATTTTCTATTAAACTATTTTTTATTAAATAAATTGTAAAATATATCAATGCTCTTTATTTTTTAGTGTCTAAAATTTTAGATATAAATGTAAATTTTATGAAATAATACAAGATATTTATTAGAAGAAGTCATGTATTACATTACGTTTAATATTCATTCCATTAAAATATTCAGGAATTTGATGGAATAACTAGTTTCGAATATCTCAGAAGCGCACAGTAGATCAGCATATTTATACACTAATTAATCCTTTTACACGTTCTATATAACTCTTTGCAAAAACAGTGTATAAATATGCTTGATCATGGAACTAAACATTGTGTGCTTAACATTAAGTATTCTAGATGCGCTAATAATCCTGTAATCTTTATCTAAACATGTTGACAATGTGTAAAGCAAGTTATGCAACTGGTTATTCTTAGATGAGAAAAATATCTGTGTAGTGCTATATCCTTAAGGTTGTTACTATTTGCAAAATATCCATATTGTTTGTTTGTTGTATCATCGAATCTCATTATGAATCTCAAATTGTGTGTGGTATACTTCCGAATGATGGCCACTGTATGAGTGTGAACAAGTTCAAATCATTCTGTATTTATTACAGCTTTTTGTTCACATTTCATGTGAATATATTCGAAATTTCTCACATGCATATACACGCCGTTCTTATACATATGTACACATATCCATACATAATATACAGACGTGTTCGCAAAACTGCTGATTGAAATAAAGTATCTGTCTGTTGTAAAGTATTTGTTGTGTACCAACAATTCTCTATTACTCAATGAATTACCCAGCGACCAACTTTAATACTTGAAATATTATCTTACGACTTTTGAGTTCTATTTCACAAACATTTAATTCTTATAAAGTTTTATGTATATTTCACTAAAAACTATAATAATAATTTCACTAGAAACTACGTAGTTTGTTATTTGGAGTAAGTGATCTGAAATTAGAAACACTAACAGTATTTTTAGAAAAATAAAGAAAGATTGAAAAACTCTTTACATACATTTTATGTGTAGCTAATGAGATGACAACTAACTTACTAATGGCTGGATTGGATTCTATGGAAAAGAAACGGCAAGAATACATCAAAGAACTTATCACAACTGAACAAGCATACATAGAAGATATGAGACTCGTTCACGAGGTATTTCTAAATCTTCTAAACCAGTTTTTATGCGTTAATTTATATATTGAAAAATAAAATTTCTTTACAGGTGTTTGAGAAACCTCTCATTGAAAGTTTAGTTTTAACTGTAGACGAGGTAGATAAAATATTCGTTAATTGGAGAGATATTATTGCTTGTAATGATAATTTTTTAAGGTAAATATATTTTTAAAAATATCTATAATGTCAACTATGGTCATTTATCAAACATTTTTCAGAACATTACGTATACGACGAGATAATAGCGAAGGAGGGATTGTAAGAATGATTGGAGATATTTTATGTGAAAATGTAAATCTCTTTTATTATTTGTAATTAATTGTAATTTTTATATCGTAGCCACATATTCATATTTATTACCCATTAGATACCCAGAATGTCAGCCTATATAAGATTCTGTAGCTGTCAGATATCGGCTGCTGTTTATCTTCAGAGATTAACTGAAACTATGCCAGAATTTGTCAAAGTTGCTCAAGTTTGTCAACAAGATCCACGTACGAAAGGAATGCCTTTGAGTTCTTTCCTTATAAAACCAATGCAAAGGATAACAAAGTATCCTCTTATTATTGGCAAAGTATCTGTCATCTTTAGTATCCTTCATTTAAAAAAAGGATATAAATATTTTTATATTAACTTATCATAATCGTTTTAGATTTTAGAACATACCCCAATTGATCATCCTGATAGGCAATATCTTCAAGAGGCATTGGCTAAAGCAGAAGAATTTTGTACTCAGGTGAGATTTTGAAAACAACAACAATTAAATTAAAAAAAATTAGTACTTAATATTATGTAATATTATATAATGTAGGTAAATGAAGGAGTTAGAGAGAAAGAAAATAGTGATAGATTAGAATGGCTGCAAACACATGTGGCTTGTGACGGTCTTGAAGAACAACTTATCTTTAATTCTTTAACAAATTCTTTAGGTCCACGAAAACTTCTTCATTTTGGTATACTTCATAAGGTAAACGAAATCTAAAAGATTACATTACCTTTACTTAATAATTTTAATATCTCTTAGGCAAAAAGTGGAAAGGAACTTGTTGGATTTCTCACAAATGATTTTTTATTGTTTGCTCAACCAATACTTGGCAAAAAGTTTTCATGTGGACAACAGTTTTCGTTTGAGAGAAACGAGCATCAAAAATTTAAGATGTATAGAAAGGTATCTCATGATAAATTACTATAACAGTAGTATGATAATACTGATTGAAATATTTCTTCTTTGCAGCCAATATTTTTAAACGAGTTATCTTTTTTGGGTGATTCAGAAACGAACGGTAATGTTAGTTTAGGTTTCAGCGAAGGTTCAGAAAATTCAACTAAAATACTGAGACTGAAAGACCAAAAAAAACCGATAATATTGTTAGCTCCATCTCCAAGTGAATGTTCACTATGGGTCAGAAGAATTACAGAAGCAAGAAAGAAATTTATGGAGAATGAAAAAACACGCTTGCAAAGACAGAGATCAAGTGAGTCATACTTTCATCATTGTTCATTATTATTGTTAAAGTACAGTCCTTGTTTGTTCTTGTATCGTTGTTGCTATAATAAACGTTATAAATACAGTACAACGTATAAGAAATATTTATAATAAATTTAATGTATAATAACGCATAATATGTGTGAGTGAACAGAGCAGGCGCAATTTGGAGCATGCGGCAGAATTCTTGTTACAGTGCTTGAAGGTTTCAATTTAAAGACAATACCTGGTAAGCAAAATCCGTGTATGCTTAAATATTTTTTTTTTATATGCATGCGCTTTGTGCTTTAGTTGTTTGGTGTTATTTCTTATTTTTCTCCTGTTTGGTATTGTTTCTTATTTTTCTCAAGCATACAATGAAAGGAAGCGGAACAAACTTCTCTACAAAAAAACCATTTAGGGTCATTTGTATCACAATTATGCTTTCTAATAATATGACGCGATTTTACTAACAAAAATCTGACATGATTGTAGTTCGCAGAAGACCGCCCCAGGGTGTACTTCGATTAGTAGTTGTGGAAGCTGAAGATTTAGTTATATTGAAAAAAGGTAAAATTTTTTCTGCTTGCATGAAATCTCTACTTTGAAATTTGGTACATGGATGGACTTATAAATAATTGCGAGAAAAATAATAATAACAAACGAATCATACATTTTACTTTTTGTCTATAATTTTGTTTAATTTTTCTTTTCTACTTGATTTTTCATACTTACTTCTTCATTCTTTATTTCTCAGTCATATTGTGCATGCGATTTGATTATAGTTAAGCATATGGAACATTATTTTTCGTATTAATATTTAGCCACATTAAATTTAATAATATGTATTATTTATTCACATCTCCGCTTTGAAATCTATGCAACTGCAATTTATGCTTCTTTAACATGAGTATTTTAAACTATTCTACATAAAATTACGTTTTTTTTTTTAATTATTATAACGATTATAATCATAATAAGAAATTTAATTTTATAGGAAAGTGCAATACATTCTGCAAAGTGAGCATGGGTTCACAAGAAGAGAGGACAGGTGTTGTATCAGGAACTGATTGTCCTTTATGGGATACGTCTATGCAGTTCCAAGTAAAGGATTTACTTGAGGATACATTATGTATCACGGTCTTTGATAAAGGCTATTATAGTCCAGATGGTAAAATTATTTCTATATTTCTGATATATGAACATAATTAGAAGAATCTTAGTAATATAATGCTTTAAATATCATTACAGAATTTCTCGGACGAGCAGAAATAAGAGTTGCCGATATAATGAGAGATAGTAGGGATTCATGTGGACCGATACAGAAACGTATTCGGTTACATGAAGTCGAGAAAGGTATTGTTGTATTGAAGTTGGATTTACGACTCTTTGGTAATCGATAAAAGCATTACATTGTTCATTTACGTATTCATAAGTAAATGGTTACAACGTAAAATTACAATTGTTACTGCCAAGATCTTCCATATCATTGGAAAAAAAACGTGTACACATGTAAAAAAAAAACAATTTTTTACCTTAATGTTTAAGAGGTTGATATTCAGTTGATAACTAAGGGCACAAAACAATCAATATTTTATTATGTATTTATTATTGTATTTATAATACGTATTGAATTTTTTTTTAATCGTATGTCATTGGTATTTTAGTAATAATTTACAAAAAAGAAAGTACTTCTGTTATTTTGTATAAAGTGCATCCGATCATATCGATCTTAGTCTTCCTTAGGAATTAATAATTTATATTCATGTGAAGCTACAGTATTATTGTTATTATTGTTGATAGTATATAACAGAAAGTTATATAAAATTGATAGTATATGACAAAAGACATTTTTTTATATGAAACATGTACAAACAACGAAACATTTAAGCGGGCATTAGTATAAATAAACCGAGTATACAATGAGTAATTTAGGAATAATTTATTGTAATAATTGCTTAGTATATAACTAAGATCAGTATGCATTCTTTAGACTGATTCGTATATAAAAATGTATAACACATATGATAACGTATGAAATAGATGTACAGAATATGATGGTTTCTACAATTTAACGCACAATAGAATTTTATAAAATACTATATAGTCTATCAATAAAGTAGATAAATTATATATAAATATTTCTTAATATGTAATAAATGTTTTAGATGATTCTCTGCAGTCATGTTCAATAGGATTACATACAAAGCGGTGCAAATATCTAAGAAAATTTTGTTCTCCTATAAAATGGTTTCCAATTGTCTTGTATATCACACGAACTAAAATTGGCCCGAGTCTATCGCTTGCACCCCATTGCATCCAATCCTCTTCATCGATTCAACGATCCAAAAATTATCGAAGATCATATGAATAATTTAACTTCCCACAAAGAAGACAATTCATTGTCCCAGACACCGATGCTCGAAAATATTCAGCATAATATTATTATAGTTTCGAAATATGTAGTTCCCTTTTCGAAGCAAACGTTCCAATCAGCATTGCTTCAGTGCCATGCACACCAACTATAAATTATTTGAAAAGGCCAGTTTAAATCTCTCGTTCTGGAGAGAGAGAGATATGGCAATGCCAAGAGGAGCGTGCTAACGAGATATTCGAAATCAAGACTATCCTCGTTCGATCAACGTTTGTCAATTACCATAATAGACGTGTACTTTCATCAAACCGTCGAATTGCCAGACACCTGAAGGTGTGTGCTCATTTCTGTTTCCGGGTCGTTGGGCTCTCTACGCTCTGGCCTTTGGTACTCGTTCTGCGTAGGGAACTCGTAAATCGGTTTGAATCCGCCAAAAAGCTGCGGTTTGAAATTCTCAGCGTCAAACTCAGCCTTTTCTGTCTGGCTGTCATCTGCGTTCGACGTGGTCTCGGACGGATCGTCGTCCGACTTTCTGTTGATGGTAGGTTCAACCACGACAACGCTCCAGCCGTTTTTCGAAGGTGCTTCGGCGCTGATGCTTGCCACGAACGGCGCCATGAAATTCTGCGGTGACGGCGCGGAACTGGAGGAACTGGATGGTTGCTGCGAAGGCAACAGAACGGGCTTCTGATCGCTCTTCTCAGTTTTAGAGATGTCCTCGTCGCGTACATCCATGTCTAACCGATGAGAAGCTTGAGCTGTCGGGGTGTAAACGTAGGCAATTGGCGTAGAGGATGGCGACGCTGGCAGACGATGAAGAGTGGCCGAGATGACCTCGTTCTTCCTCGGTGGGAAAGGCACGAAATCCTGTAGATACGGTATCACGTTTACGCTGGAGTCCTTCTCGTCTTTCTCTTCTGTATTCTCCTGCGTAGGATCATCTTCTTGTCGCTGATCGCTGGGCACCAATAACGGTGTCTCCCTCATTCCGTTGACAAGAATAGAAGGATCAGGACGTTCCAAAGGATATGGGAAATCCGAGACAACTGGTCGCCCGTTGAACACGTTGTGAACAGGTCTTGCTTCTTCGTTTATCTCTTGATCCTCGTTATCTTGCAGCAACGTTTCCGGAGGCAGAGGTCTGTGCGGCCCTCTCGTCCCAACAACCACGCTCTCGTCTTTCTCCCTGGAATCGTCAGGATGAATATTCACGGCAGTATTTACCGGATAGACCACGTAAACTGGAGGCTCGGCCATCGGCTCGTGACTGTCGAACTTTCTTCTATCTGCGTTCTGCTCGGTCACTATCCTGTCCGACTCATCATCGTTCACGTTCGCATCCATTGACGGCAGATTCGGCTCCGTGATATCCTCTTCGAATTCTCCATGCTGTTGAATCATCTGGAGAGTAGCTACGTGCGGTGGATCCGCAGTTCTTCGTTTAGGGAACAAGGGAGGCCTCGGTGGCACTTGAGGCGGCTCCTCCGAGTAACGTTCTGACTGTTCCTCTTCCTCCAGCCGCAGTTTCTGGTTGGACACACGTTGCGCCAGTTTGACGTCGTCCTCTCCCCTGGATGTGGCTGATACCGGTGGCAGACGAAACCTCTTGACCGTGGATTCTGCATCTCGCGGAGGCACTATGTTCTCGGATTTCGTAGAAGCCACGCCAGCAAGCTTGACAACGTGAATCGGGGGAGGAGGAGGATTTAACCTTTGTAGATAAGACGGAGGCGGAGGTAGTGGCCTTCTGGTCGGAGGATACGATTGAACAGGCTGTCTCACTCTGGTAGGATAACCCTGACCAGCTGGGATCGTTCCAATGGCCTCTGATCCACGATGCCCGTGAGACGTTTTAGCATTCGGGCGAAACTGCGGTAGAATATTTGGCAGGTTTGAATCGGGTGAATAAGGACGTCTTCTTATCCCTATAGGTTCTGAGGGGGGCGGAAGAGGAGGAGACGGTGGCTGCTTGCCACGAGGTGGTAAAGGCAGTCTTTGAGGTCTTGGATGATCCGGTCTTACCGTCATACCTCCGTGATGATAGTGATAATAGAACTGCGGAGGCGGCTTTGGCCGTTCAGCCGGTGGAGTCAAGTTCTCCGAAAGTTGCGGCAGGTGTTCTTCGTTCGTAACCGGTGGATCCACTCTTACAGGCTTTAACGTCGTGGAGGATGGTGTTATTTCATGCACGGTACCATCAGCTTCGTTTATAACAACGATATGTTCTTCTATGATTGGTTGCTTAGGTTCGTCTTTAGGAAACACCACGTAGTTGACGTCTTTATCATCGTTCTTGTCCTCCGGTTGTTCCCTGAACACGCTGCCTTTCACGAACGAACTCTGCGTTTTAGAAGGTTCTACCTCGTTGGCTAACTTTTGGGTCCCAGTGGGATTAGGCTGTGTCCACGTTTGAGCAGCGTAGGTGGGATTACTCTCCAGTATGGATACCGATGGCAAACCGATCGTTCCTCGGTAGTCTGGCTGTGGATCGTAATTGCCCTTATCCGGCGAGGCACCGTACAAAGGTCGGAAGGAGGCATCGATTCCAGTAGAACCGGCGTAAGGATTCTCCCCGATCGCGGTTCCCAAGGAATAATACCCGCCCTCGACGTTCTGCCTATTTCCAAGGACAAAGGACACTGTGTCTTGATCAGGTGGTATCACAATATTACTGGTGCTCTCCACCAGAATTCCACCGCCTAATCCGTTTGGCCTCTGGTTTGGACGATATGCCTGATTTATGATTACGTTGTCCGTAATGCCGTGTCTTCGGTTATCACTTTCGAACACCAACGGCACTCTGTGCTCATTGTCCAAGGATACAGACGTTACTGGGCGTGGGGAATGAGCTTGGAACGGTAACGAGTTACTCTGGAAGCTACTCTCTTCAGATACTGGTGAAGAGTACATCGTCGATGACGAAGGAACTACCGTGCTCGTGCTCGTGCTCGTGCTTGTGCTCGTGCTCGTGGTGGTTACAGGAGTAGTTTCAGGAGTTCCGGTAGTCGTTGTTATGTTAGGAACAGCCGACGTTGTACTAAAGAACGTACTAGTCTTCGTTACTTCACCGGTCGCCTCTTTCATCGAGACGTAATCCTTTGCGTCCTCTGCATCTCCGATTTCGTAATCTTCGTAACTATCTATGTATTCTTCGTGCTTTGTAGGAGGCTTTGTCTGGGGGTCCCCGTTATATTGCAGTATGTTATTCGGCCCTTGATTCCCATTGCTGTACACAGACGACTGAAGTTTTTCTATCGGCAGGATATCGTCGTAATCGTCAAGATGATCGACAAATCGTTTCGGAGTGGAGACAGGAGGCTTCCAGGTTGTCACAACAGGTGCCTTCGTCGAAGTGGAAGTAAAAGTAGTAAATGGTTGGGAACTAGGTGTAGTCGTGGTAGAAGTGGTAGTAGTCACAGTAGTTGTCGTTGTTGGAATTGTCGTGGTTCTGGGAGTCGTAGAAGTGGTAGTGGTGCTAGGCGTGGTCGATGGCGTTGGTCTAGGAGTCGTTGTCGTTGTCGTAGTTGTGATCGAAGTTGTCTTAGGCATGTACGGTTTTCTGGTAGGATAGTACATCACCGTCTCTCCGTGATAAGGCTTGTGATTGTAAGTACTGTAGCTGTTTGATCCGCTTTGGACCTTTGTATTCGCGTAGGAACTTGATATCAATGGATATTTGTCCTTACCATACTTGTCGGAGGAATAATGAACAGGAAGATTCAAGAAATCGTGAAAATTAGGCGAGTAAGGATTGATCTCGTTTGGACTGACGTCGTCAGTCTCCTTGCTGTTTTTCACCTTCTTTTTTTCTAGATAACCACTATTTTCCTTCGATTGGTTCTTGCTTACATGCTTCTCATCCTCGTTCTCTTGATAACGAGTGCTAAGATTCAGGGCTTTGACGGGCGGCGCCTTCTCGAAGTCGATTTTACCGGTGATGGGATCCTTCTCGAGCGAGAACGGCCTGCCACCGTTAAAGGCGAAAGGATAAGGAAGGTGATAACGTGGCGTTTCTTCGTCGTCCGACGTCAAGACGGCGGCGGTGCTCTCCTCCGCATCTAGATCCAGGTCAAGGTCATCCAGCTGCGCCGTCCTTGCCAAACTCGGAGAAGATTCCATCTGTTCCAGCAAGGACTTTGATGGACTGTTGTCCATATGGCCTCCCATCAAATATTCCGGCGATGCGACTGTCACGCAGGCGAACGTGACCATTAACAACCATGGATTAATCCGCATAGTTCTTGACATATCTGAAAGTGTTTCACACCGATGATAAGATAAAAAGTTCTAATTCTAAGAAATATCTTTTATATGTATTTTATTAGTTTCAGTTATGGAATAGATAAAGGTCAAGGATGGAGGTAACATCATTTATAATGCATATTCTATTTAACATATATGTGCATTATAAATGATATGATGATGCAACATACATTTAAAATTTAGTTTTTTAATATATATTAAATACATATATTTATGTTGCAGCTCTATAATACTTATTTGTAGCAGTTTTAGCTGTAATTATTATTAACAAATGAACAGAAAGTATATTCAACAATAATGTGCATTATAAATGATATGATGATGCAACATACATTTAAAATTTAGTTTTTTAATATATATTAAATACATATATTTATGTTGCAGCTCTATAATACTTATTTGTAGCAGTTTTAGCAGTAATTATTATTGACAAATGAACAGAAAGTATATTCAACAATAATGTGCATTATAAATGATATGA